CATGCTGCTGGTCATGGCGGCGGCTGCAGTCAGTCCTTCTGCCTTCCTGTCCTTTTATTTCTCCTCTCTGTTAGTCCCGCCTATCCTTCCTGCCTAGCCACAGGTGATGAGGTTTTATTTATTGATCAATCAGAACAACTTGACATACAGAACATCCCACAGCAGGTGTGTGCCACTGCCTGGCTAAGACTCTTTTGTTTTAAGTTAATGTCTGTATATGTTTATCTGTGTGTGGATTTGTGCACAAGTGCCTTTGACTCTAGGAAGGCATCTGATCCCCTAGACCTGGAGTCACAGGCAACTGTGAACCAAACTCCTAACGACTGAGCCATCTTTCCAACCCCTTTAAATTTTTTGATTGCATTTTAATTTTTTAAAAGACTTACTATGTGTATGAATTTTTACCTGCATGTTTGTGCCTGGTGCCCTTGGAGGACAGAAGGCATTGTATTCCCTAGAGCTGGAGTAACTGATAGTTGTGACCTGCTGTGGAGGTGCTGGGAGCCAAATTCAGGTCCTTTGAAAAAGCATTCCGTGCTCTTAACCTCTGAGCCATCACTCCAACCCCTTAACTCCATTTTATGTATTTAGTGTGTCTGTGTGGTAGGGAGTGGGGCAACGTGTGCAACAGACATGGAAGTCAGAGAACAACTTCCAGTCGTCAGTTTTCTTCTTCTGCCATGTGGGAGCCGGCGGCTCAAATTCACATCATTGGATTAGGTGGCACGTGCCTTTATTGCCTGAGCCATCTCCCCAGGCCTTGCCTCTACCTCCTGGGTCTGGGATGACAGGCATGTACCACCAAGCATGGCTAGGTGGGTCTTATTTTAACCTCTGAAATCCAGTCGTTGTGAAATATAGAAGACAGTAGATGAGGTTTTAATTGGCAACCAGGAATGAAAATGTCTGGGATAAGAGTGACGATTACTCATCTAACTAAATATGTTCCCTTTTACAAAAACAGCAAGTAAATATTCCCAGTGTATGGGTTGGTTCCCATGTCAAAGATTCTCCTCTACTGTTAAAACATGCTTGAATTCTTGATTGCCAAACCGTGATCCTTGCTCTTGTGTGGTTTGCCAGGGGGTGTTTGCCATCGTGGAGATGGGTGATGTAAGTGCTCGGGAGGCTGTCTTATCACAGCCCAAGCACAGGCTGGGGGAACATGGACTGCGTGTTCGGCCGAGGGAGCAGAAGGAGTTCCAGAGCCCAGCCTCCAAGTCTCCCAAAGGAGTGGACTCAGATAGCCGACAGCTGGCCCAAGCACTGGCCGAGGCCCCAGATGTGGAGGCACAGATGGTAAAGCTTGTGGAACTGAGGGAGTTGTCTGAGGCTGAGCGGCAGCTTCGGAATCTTGTTGTGGCGCTGATGCAGGAGGTCTTCACAGAGTTCTTCCCCGGTGAGTCCCCTGCTCTAAGTCTGTTGGTCTACCTGCCCCTCCGTTTGAACCCCCAGTCCCCGCAGCTGAAGGTGTTTCATGTGCTGGCTCTTCCGCCTCTGTCCCCCAGTATGTTTGCTCTTGAACCTCCCGCACCTCCCCGTCTTTTTGACCCCTCTTCATGTGTGCGCACAAGAGACACACATGCTTATAGAGGTCAAAGGGTAACTTTCAGGAGTTGGTGCTCTTCTTCCACTCCATGGGTCCTGGGGATCGAACTCGGGTTGTCAGACCTGGTGGCAAGTGCCTTTACTTTCTGCGCCACCGCGCTGGCCCTCTGCTGTCTTCTGATCTTTATTCTTTGGCACCTAGGCTGTGTGGTCCATCCTTTTGGCTCTTCTGTGAACAGCTTTGATGTTCATGGCTGTGATCTGGACCTCTTCTTGGATCTGGGTGATACGGAAGAGCCGCAGGTGAGTGAGCAGGAGAGCATGCAGTCATGTGACTTGGGCAAATGCTTTACCCAAACTTGCATGGTTTTTAGTTTTACGATGATAAAACATTCATAATAGTACTAATCCAGAATATTACTGTAATTGTGGAAATGTGGATATGGATGTGCATTAGATGGAATGAAAGTGAGTTGGCATGGGATAGATAACAGTTGTGACAGGAAGATAAAACATTTCAAAATTCTATGTTACTGGATTTTGTTTATTGTGGGTTTTTTGAGACAAGGTCTCACTATGTAGCCCTGGCTGGCTTGGAACTTGCTATGTAAACCAGGCTGGCCTGGAACTCACAGAGATCCACCTTCCTCTGCCTTCCAAGTGCTGGGATTAAAGGCATTCAACACTGTGTTCACCCTTGTGTGTGATCTTACTTGGAGAGAATATATAAAAAGATACACAGTAAGGTAATTTGGGGATTATCTTTTTGCTTATCTGTATAGAGGGGTAGTTGAGACTGTGTATCCCTTCCTGGCCTGGAACTTGCTATGCAGACCGTACTGTCCTTTCTGCCTCTGCAGACATGCTGGGGTTGCAGGTGTGCACCACTATGCCAGCTCTTGTGTTTCGTAATATGTAACTTACAGATTGTTTCTGCAATAGGAAAGTTGTTCTTTTATTGTTTGTTTTATTCTTTTTTCTTATGCACAGTTCTTTTTTAGAGCAGTTCTAGGTTCTTTTTTTTTTGTTTTGTTTTTTTTCGAGACAGGGTTTCTCTGTGTAGCTTTGCGCCT